TATTATCAGACCTTGGAGTTCATGCATTTTGGGGTGATATCCTGGGAAGCTGTTTAGATTGCAGTCCTTCTGGTCAAGATGAATCATAGTTGTGTTACTTTCATTTACACTGTGTTCCATGTTTTTCCTGAACACCTGCTGTATGCAAATAAAGTGATTTTTAAGAGGTAGCATGCATGATAGAGCTAGATTATAGATTAGTATCATCTGGCCCAAGTTTGCAGATCTTACTAAAACACGTTACAAATGAAATTGCCCACTCACTGTTTCCTTTCTGTAACAAAGGGCCTGTGCTGCTGATGTGTAAGCAAAAGTTAAGTCTATACACCATACTTAATACTGCTCAACCCACTACATTATTAGGACACCTTTTTGAGTTACACTAAAATTTTTGGTTTAGTGACCAAGGATCCACCATAATACAAGTTTTACCTAATATGTATCGTGTGATCCCAATCTGTCTTTAATTTTTGCTTAGATAGTGTTCTGGTTGTCCTATAAAGGATGAATAGCTATAAACTCACTCCAAATGGTTATGCTTTAAACATTAACTTTTAAAAATTACTGCATAATTCTCTCCAGATATGCCATTCCCCCACAATGCCTATCTTTTCTGTTTCCATGTGGGTTTCTTTTAGCTCTTTTGCTACTGTCTCAGTTTGTTTAAAACACATATATACCTCTTATACTATGATTTGCCTTTCTTTTGCCTAGCTCTCTGCACACAGTCTTTCTCTCATTTTTATGTTTCAAGCCGTGGAAACTCTGGCATTTTGGCAGAATGAAAGTAGATAGTAATATTCAGTAATACTAGGCCCAGGCTCTTTGTGAAAACTGGGCTGGGTCTTCTTAAGTTCCTGGATGCAATTTTACTTGCACTGAGATCAGCCATTTAATCTGTCAGGTGGAGTAATGTAGGATTAAGTTTGATGGATAGTTTGCAGAGCACATATTATCCCTGTTTCATGACTAGCTGAAATGCCTGATACTCATTACACTCTGCTTTACCTCATTCTTATGTGTTCAGACACGTAGTTCATTATTTTTAACACTTTTCATCATGCCTGAATGGTGACAATAACAGCTCCAGTATTGCTGTCTATTTGTAGAAATGTGTTGTTAAGAACTGGAGTGAGTTACATCTGTCTTGATCCTTTCCTTCCTTGGAAAGCATGACATCGCTTCTTTTCCTCATCCCTTTAATCATCTCTTTGGCCCTGTTGGCATTAGCTACATCAACACACTTCAGGGAAATGGCATAGCTAAGGCTTTTATAAACTGAATTGAGAACTTACCGTGGCCACAAGAGATGAACAAGAGCTATTAATGCTCTTCGTCTTGCTGGATCCTTTTGATCCACTAACAGCACCCTGCTCTTTGGGAGCATTTTGTTTTCTTTTCTTACATCATCTTTAATTCTGGGGGACTTGAGGTGAGATTTTTGATGTTGAGTTTTGTTTTTTGATGTTGATGTTTGGATTTTTTGGGGTTGGGTTTTTTGGGTTTTTTTTTTTTGCTTTAAGCTAGAAGCTTGCCTGTCTCCTTTCATAAGCTAATAATCCCTGACTTCCCATGACTCCTGTACCAGACAGATAGATCCATGATTAACTTTTTTGGCTGATCTGATTTCATTGCAGGTGATAATCAACTTTCTTTTACCACAAAGAAAGTTACAGTACTATTCAAAAACACTTCATAAAACCATCTTTCCAGGGCATCTGTACTGATAAGCAAGAGCTCACGTGGGTAGAAGATAATCAATGCCAATTACACTGTGAAAAAGCCTCTGCTATTCTCAGATGGTGACTCCTATCACCTCTATAATAAAGGCCTGCTACTAGCTATTTTACAAATCCCAGCTCTTCTGAAATATATAACAGTTCTCAAAGTATACTCTAAGATAAGACTTGGTATAATAAACCTAATACTGAAGAGCAAGTGTGAAATTACCCACTCATTTTTCAGGAGGCAATAAAAAAGGGACGTAGAAGCAGTTACGTGCTATATATAAATGACAGGAAATTGTAGGCTAGTATGAATCTGTACCTCTGATCAAACAGGGGATTCAGTTTCTGTCTCTGATAATCTCCACCCCACTGAGCACTTTCCCTGCAAAACCAGTCCTGTTTCTTCTCCTTCCTTTTGGACTTTGCATGTCAAAGGGCAGAATGAGTGAAGAGACTGACCTGGTGCTGTCTTGGGCTGTTGGGTGGGAGGTTTAAGCTGCTTCTGTCAGCTTTTCACAGCAGCTGTGATCAGGGTTCTTCTGCTCACATCAGTTCAATCACTTCTGTATATCTGCTTATAATGTTATTTATTAACTGTCAGCAGGTAGGCATACTTAAGATCATTATGTCAAGTTAAAGAACTTACAAAAAGTTTGATCTTTTTCAACAACTCTAGTAAAATGTTTTATGTGAGCTTAAATATATATATATATATATATATCTTTGTTCTATACTGTGGCCAGCAACTGAGTGCCTACCAGCCACTCGCTCACACCCTCACCCATCTCCATCCCTCAGGAGTTGGAAGAGAGAATAGGAACAGTAAAAATGAGGAAAAATTGTGGTTCAAGATAACAAAAGTGTCAAATCTGTTTCACAATAATGATGAGCTGGTGTCTGAAAATTTATTGGAATGAAATGGGAAATAACCAGTAAGGAAATACTTACACCTCAGCTCTGCCATTTTAAACCAAATAACATCAGTGGACCTGTTTCTGATGAAAATAGAAGCAAAGATAAAGTAGGATGCAGTTGCACCCAGTGAACCAGTAGCACCTGACTCTTGTTTGCTATAGCCGTGTTTTTAATCAAAACTTAAGTAGATTAACACATAGAAAACTTGAATTTATTGTAAATGGCATTTTATAGACTTCATTTTAAGATGACACCAAAGACTTACTATGGCATGAGGCTTTTCATAGATTTGAGTGTGATCTTGAGTCTTATGCATGGAATTCTTTCTTCCATACCCATTGAAATGATTATTTTGTTCTTTTAAAGATTTAAATCACAAGAGCAGCTAATTTTGAAAAACTAATTTTACATGCAACATTTTTTTGAAAATAAATGCCTCTTCATGTAAATGATATCTATAGAATTCTTATTTATTCTTGTTATATATAGAATTCTTATTTATTGTTGTTATTCTTGTTATTCTTCATTTCCTGGTAATTTATTTTATAACTATAGCATTGAGACAATAAATTTAACATTCTTGATGAAAACACAACTTTAATTATTTTCTGAAATAAGACTTTAAAAGCAGTGATTAAAAACCTATTCCCTAAACTGCCAAAAAAACAGAAAGGGTTTTTCTAAGACCCTGCTGTTCACCCATATTATTAGAGTCAAGGACTTGCCCAAGGTTTCAGATCCCTTAATCACGCTAGCTTAGCTTCAGTGGTACATTTCTAGCATGTAGTTAAAACAGTATAACTGCTGCTTTGTGCAGCTGTGAGAAGATGTAGCTGCTTAACTCCAGTGTGCCAAACACAACACGTAGTCTTGTAAGGCTTGTAGCAACATCTGCTCTCATAAATTCTCTGTAATAAGACTCCCTGGGCTGGGGTGTTGGATGTCTGACCCTAGTCCTGCCAGGATGCTTAAATGCAGTGTAGCATTCAGCCAACTGTCTTGTTCTTTGTAGGATGAATGTGTGTAAAGACACACAGAGTGTGCCTGCTCGCAGGTAAGATAAATGCAAGAGGCACTTCAGTAACACTAATGCAGGTACTAAAATAATTTTATAGCAGAAGGAGGTGGTATCTGGACAAATAATATTCCATCAGTACCTCAATCATTTATCTTTATGTGGTACCTTGAACTGCTGCTGTCTCCCATATCAATTTCTGCGCTTTACAATATGTATCAGTCCTAGGAATATTTGCTTTGAATTTTCTCATGTGCTTCTCTTAAAAGTCAGTGAAAGGAAGCTCACCAAATAAGGCTTTATTTTTAGCAGATTTCTCAAAGTAATTTAATTTTTCTGGAGATGGCAAGAGTCAGGATATTGGCTTTTAAGTACTGAAATACTAGATATTTTAGTATAAAATATCCAACATTAAAAAAAAAAATCCAAATACATAACGCTAGGTGTTTCTTAAAAATTTTAGTCTATTTCCCATTTTTCTTATTTTTGTTCAAAAGTACCTGTTCACCTGCTAATTGCTCAATTTTGTGTGTTTGAGTTAATTAGGTTCTAAAGTTTCGCTCCACCAACCACTTCTTATTTGCTCTTTAACAAAATTTACAGCTCTAATTCACTTGTCTTTGTAGTACAAAAGTGCCTGTCTCCTACTGGATGAAAGAATATGTTGAAGGGTGCCTTCTGTCCATCTCTAACTGATACTATTAGACTCCAGCAGGCAAAACAGATGATTTAATCAACATTTTCCTGGCTTACACTGTATGTATCACACCTACCCTACACAGCCAGGCTGTCAAGGAGACCATGCTTTTCAAGAAACATATACTCTTGTTCCCAAAGCAAAAGCGGATGTTTGATAACTGAGCTACTTTCACTCCACTTCTTTCCAACTTTTCCAACCCTTTCTCTTCCTAAGCATTAGTACTGCCATCATTTGGAAGGGCTCAAACCTACTTGACCCAACTAGCAAGCCTTTCTGTCAGCCATTTGTTTTCACTTTGCTCTTACACTTCTAAATGCACTTTTTCTGCTGGCTGAAGAGGTTGGGGTAGCCACCTCTTCCTGACTCCCTGCTGTCAGGACCAAGTGAGCTTTAGAATTGTGCTGCAGGGTTGGAGAAAATCAGAGTTCCCCAGTCCAGAGCTCTGGGAGCAGCGCCCTGAGCCCAGTGGAGATTTCACCTGTTTCACCAGCCTTGACTCAAAATTAGGGGCAGTGTGGTCTCCATGATTTCAAGTTTTAGTTTGACACTTACTGTGGTAAGCTTTAGCATGTTAGCTGCTAAAAGGCAATAGGAAGGGAACTTCTAACTTTATTTAAGTTTATTCTGTTCTTTGCTTGCTTAGTGTACTGAAGAAGTCTGTACCATTATAAGGGAAGCTGGTGCAGTGACAGCATTCATGGGATCTTGGGATCTTCCCTGTGCATGTGGAGGAGCTGACAATGTCATTTAAGGTAAGCTTTTCTCTGCGAATACTTAAGCAATCCTGCTGCGCTCATCCTGTGTGCCAGTGAGTTTGAATCCAATTTCAGTTTGTGTTTCAGAGTCTTATGCACAAATATAAAGAAAGTTTGAGCACTGTGCAAAATGCCCAGAACACAGGAAAGCTCTGATCGAGCTTTCACCAGTCTGGAACCAGTGCCCTGAAGTTTTACTGCAAGCAGAAATCCTCAAGTGCATAGAGATCACCTGGGCTGTGCTTTTGTGAGTCTGTGCATGGGTGACGGTTGCAGTTTTGAGGACTTGGCAGTTGTTTGTTCCACTAGGGACAGTGCTGTTCAGCTGTGTGAGCCGTGATTTTAATAAGGAACTGAGAGATTCCTCCCTTCACACGCTGAATTCCTATTTTACAACATTACGTAACTCTAATCCTGGTTTCAGCACTTCAGCAGGATGAAAGTGGCAGGTATTTGGCTCTTTTCCTGTCACATCACCACAGTGTAATGGTGGATTTAGTAGGGTGAAATGAGGATTTTCGTCTCTTACCACCTCTTATGTCGGTCTCTGAAGCCAGTAATAGCCATGCCCCCTGTGGGTGTTCAGGACTGTTTTTCAGGGGCTGAAAGACTGTTACTTTTTATGGACAGTGAGTTGAATTAAAAGTGAAGCTGCAAGTAGTTTGTCCTTGGATGAGGGAGGAAATCTTTGGTTTAGTGCTGAACTCAGCAGTCAGGAAATTGTGTAAGTTGAATACATAAGTTTTTGGCAGATGCTGTGTTTCTACTAGATTTGGAGGAGGAATTGGCATTTGAGAGTATAACTTTGAAACACTGCACTTAGAATTTGCATTGCAGCAGCAGTGCTATCTAAACTCTCTTTGCAACTCTCTTTCACTTTTTACTGCAGGAGTTTTAGATATTTTCAGCCCATTCATCTCCTCAAACAAAAAGAAGTAGTGAACCAAGCAAATGACAGAATGAGGGACATATTCCACACTTCTGTTAACACTGATCATTAAAACTCAGAAGCTATAGGTCGGGTCTAAAGACCGCCTGGTCCCATAGTAAGTTTCTGCTCCCCAGGAGTTTTTTACATTGAATCACTGGATAAAGTATGGTTTTGTATATTCTTCTTAAATTATAAAAAAAAATTATAGGCGGGAACTAAGAAAGTCAAAATTTAATCAGGTTTCTTATTTAACAATTATCAACTTGTGAAGTAAAAAAAGTGGGGATATTAAGAAGTTTTACAGGTATTTATTAGCAAGGTGGTGATGTTTCCAGTGAATATGGCTGCTGTGTCCAGCTATGTCATTAAGATTGTTAACATAATTACTCTAAGTCATTTTCTGAGATAAGGAAAACAATCTCTCTCTTTCTGAATTAAAAAAAAAAGTTGAAATCATTCAAAAACATTTTAGCGACTGATAGAGAAAAAGCTACCGTGTTTTGTTTTGTTATTCTTTTATTCAGTAGATACAGTTTGTGAAAGAACAAGAGCACACTGCAGTAGAACTGCCAGATTTTAGTTCATGCGTTAAACAGTATCTTCAAATGTGTTCTCTAAGCATGACATAGCAGCCTTATCATTACTGTGTGCCTGAAACTGAGCAGATGTTCAATAAAATTGCCAGAAATACCAATGGCTCCCTAAAGTGACTTTTCTGCCAACAGGGAGAAATGCATTAAACACAGCCTTTCAACACTGTTCTGTGGGAAAAGATGACAGCCTTAAGGGCAGAAGTGCAGGCATCTGAAATGCTACCAGCCTCAACCTTTCCAATGAGACTTTTAGCAGGTAACATTAAGCTTGCAAGAAGCTGGCTTGCCTGACTCTCTAAGTTCAGGGGCATAATAACTGGATGTGTAAAGTGGGGTCACACACAAGCTTGCAGAACAGTTTCCAGGTGTGTTAACCCTCTGTCTGTGATTTCCGCTGCACTTCATTTATTGAAATGACGTCCATGATTGTTTTACATCCATCTTAAGGCATTCAGTAATTCGAGAAGGGTTATTAGGCAATGCAGATGAGTCAACATTAATATTCTGTCTGAAAGAAGTTCCTCCTTCATACCTTTTCTCCTTTGCTCCCCTTACCCTCCTTGCTGAACTCACAACCCTGATGCATGCAGTAACATGAGTAAACTTAAATTGTTCAGTGGAAGCTGTCACATCCCCACAGCAGAAGGCAGCTCTTCATCACCCCTTCCAAGCATGGAGCCAGAGGAGTGGGAGGAAATCTCATCCACAAGAGGCCAAGTGACTAAGTCAGGTGTAAGATCTGCACACACTGCTTCTGGCCCCACCATGGTTTCACTGCAGCTCTAAGACAAATCTCTTTCTGTGCTGCCACTTTTTATCTGAAATAAAAGAAGCGGCTTTTTAAAAACTCTTTCCATTATGGATGTAAAATTAAAATTAAAAAGCTCTCTTTTCTTCTGCTGGCACTGTGTGGAAGACACATTGATATCACAGACGCATAGTGAAGACAACAAAGAGTTGGCCTGCGGTCCAGTTCTTTAATTTTAGTCACAGCAAATTATACACTATGGCTGCCAGATGCCATTTTATACAGCTGGTTGAAAAAAACCTGAAATAATTATCATAAAATTGAGAAGTTTTCAGCTACTTAAAAGTATACTTATTTAGAAACTGCCCATTAAGGAAATTTTCTGCTAGTTCTGCTAATGGAATGGTGTGCACTGAAGTCTTGTAAGCACACTTTGTGTGAATGATTTTAATCGTTCTCCATAAAAGCTCTGACAAAGTTACAAGAAGTTAAAGTCTAGGGGCATTTAGAAGCATTGGTTTCATTTGTTGCACACAATTTGTTTCCCTCCACTCTACCAGGGGAAAGCTGCACTGTAATCTGTGGTTCTCAGTAAAGATGCCCTGTCTGAGTGACCAGGACACATCTCTCCCGGCCTTGTTGCTTTAGAAATCTTCATCCCTGATGTGTATTTGCTTTTATTGTCATTGAACTTAGACATCTGCTGTAGTTTTCTTCCAGGCATAAGCTATTAAGAGAACAACTTGCCTGCACATCCCTAGGGGGTCTTACATCTATGTTTACAGTATGGGAACCTGCAGCTGCCTGACTGTATTCACTCAGAGTTAGAGTATCTTCAACTATAAAAAGTCCAGAGTGGTGTAATTTGGAAAACAAACAAACAAAAACCCAAGCAAACAAAAAACCAACCAACCGAACAAAAAACCAACAAACAAACAAAAGGGAATATCCTGTTCCCTGACATACGGAGGCAGGCAGAGTTCCTGTTTCATTGGAAACCACAGTGACCCTGACTACGGCAAGGCATGCATTGACAAACTTTTTCCATTGAGTTTTGTAAGCGAAGTGGTTGGCTTCTCCTGTTTTTCAGTGCAGAGAGTGTTTGCTTTTGTCCCCATAGTCAGCTGCACTGACATTTTGGTTGAAGCAATGTACAGGTTGCTGGTGGGGAGTGACCAGGACTGTCCTATGCCGAGCACAGCCGGTTTCAGCTCACTCCACTGGACCCACCAAAGGGCACAGCTGAACCCTGCAGCCTCGGGAAAACCTGTGTGAGAAAGGGCAAAACGCCCCACAGTCAGTGAGGAGTGAGGGAAAGTGTGTGAAAAACAGCTCTTCAGAGAGGAAAGTCAGAGAAGGAGGAGGTGCTCCAGATGTCCAAGCAGAGATTCCCTGGCAGCCTCTGGAGGGAGTCATACTAGAGCGGGTATCCACACTGCAGCCCATGGAGAGGACCGTACCATGGCAGGTGGACATGCCCTGAAGGAGCTGGGGCCTGTGGATAGGCTATGCTGGAGCAGGTTGATCCTGAAGAGCTGTAGCCCATGGGAAGGAGCCACTCTGGGGACCTGGAAAAGAGTGTAGAGAAAGGAGAGGCAGAGAGGAGCTGTGTTAGGGACTTACCACAGCCCCCATTCCCCGCACTGCTCGTGGGGAGGAAGTAGAGAAGTCAGGAATGAGGGAGTGAAGTTGGGCATGGAAAAAAGAGGCAGAGTGGGAAAGGTGTTGTTTTATCTCTTTCTCAGGATGTCTCTTTCTCAGCATGTGTCAGGTAATCCACTTTAATTGAGAATGAAGTAAATTAATTTTCTCCATGTCAAGTCTGTTTTGCTCATGACAGTAATTGGTAATCAATCTCCCTCTCTTTATCTCAACCCTTGAGTTGAGTTTCATCTTATTTTCCCCCCTGTCCTGCTGAGGAGGCAGAATGTGAGAGCAGCAGGGTGGGCATCTGGAAGCTGGCCATGGACAACCCACCACAGTCATTTACAACAGAAATTGTTACACTTTAGGAGTCACTCTGGGTAAGTACAGCTTCTCAGCTTTATTTTTACCACTCCATGTTACATGTGTTTAGTTGCCCTGTTTTGCCTCTGTGGACAAATTGCTCCCCATTTGTTTCTACAACTGTGCAGATGTAGAACAAACTCAGGAGACGGGACTACAGCACCATTCAGGGAAGCTGCAGCTCACTCCACCCCCATCAATAAGCTGCTTTTCTCCAGCTTCTGCATATTGCTAATTCAATTTAGAAGTAAAAGCTTTCAGACACCTTTCCTGTGAAAAGCAAAGATCAGACATTTTCATGTGAAGTTTGAACAACTTCCCCATCAAGGGCCCAGGAAACACAGAGATTTGTTTTCAGGAATAATTTTATATTTTGTCCTATTGCTGTCTTGCAGCATCAGGAAAGTCTACTACCTGTACCTTTTTAGTGGGGTGCTTACTGTGTTACTGGCAGATGCCAGCAGTTGGTTGTCCAAGGTGCACATTCACATTCTCAGAGGTTTTTCTCAGCAACACACTTGAGTTTTTCAAACTTTTCCAGGAATTGTTCTACAGTATTAAACAGCCTGTTGTGGTTCTTTTGGTGAGTTTCATTTTAGATCAAAGGATATGAAACTTGTAATAGTGCTAGTGCTAGAGTCTCCAGTACTGCAGACTTATTATTTTTAAATACTCCAATGACACCTTTAAGGCATAGGACGACAAATCAGCAATGAAAATGTCGTTATTCACCAGCTAACAGTAAAGAACTAGTTTTCTCTTTTAGGGCTTTCTTACCCTCCTGAGTTTAATTAGTGTTCTTTCCTCTCTCTGTTTGCTTTTGTTTGGTTGTTTCTTCTCTCGATTCCTTTTATACACGCACAATACCTTGTCAATGTAAATACTAATTATTTTTCTTTTCGAATAGGAACAGAGATTCCTCCTGAGCAATTAAAGAAGTCAAAATC